AACAACTCAAAATTTGTGATTTTCTTTTTTACTTTTACTTTGACCCCAAAGTAAGGATACCAACTGTCCCAGATTTGCCTGCATTTTGGGTTTTAGCCCCGATGATGCCGTGTCCCTAGCCATGCCCAGGGATCACAGCGTCACCCATTATTGAACAGTAGCTCACGAAAAAAGATATATTTGGATGGACATACACTTTAAATCGCAATTGTGAGACTTCTTACTCTCACCGTGACTCCAGCATAAGGACCAACTGTCCCGGATTTGCCAGGACAGTCCTGCATTTTGGATTTTAACCCGATGATGCCGTGCATGTCCAGGGATCACAGCGTCACCCGTATTTGAACAGTAGCTCACAAAAAAACCTTTTGGATGGACATACACTTTAAATAGAAATTGTGAGACTCCTTACTCTCACTGTGACTCCAGCGTAAGGATACCAACTGCCCCGGATTTGCTGGGACAGTCCTGAATCTTGGACTTCAAGTAGAACTAACGGCAAAAACTTTTTTTTTCATTTTGGATAGAGCAAGGGAGAGTTATAACTCCTGCCAGATTTTTTTTCGCCATGTGTCCCATTGCAGAGATTTTGTCTTCACTTCCTGTCCCATAGCCAAACAGGAAGTGAGAGGAAATCCCTGCAAATCAAGCAAATTCCTTGGGGACCCCTAGGTGACCAGAACTAGTGTCCCCATTGGAAAATTTCCCCTCTATTACTTTTCTAGGAACAACTCAAAATTTGTGATTTTCTTTTTTACTTTTACTTTGACCCCAGAGTAAGGATACAATCTGTCCCGGATTTGCCGGGACAGTCCCGCATTTTGGATTTTAACCCCGATGATGCCGTGCATGTCCAGGGATCACAGCGTCACCCGTATTTGAACAGTAGCTCACAAAAAAAAATCTATTTGGATGGACATACACTTTAAATAGCAATTGTGAGACTTCTTACTCTCACCATGACTCCAGCATAAGTAACAACTGTATAGCAAAACTTTTTTTTTTTTTCATTTTGGCTAGGGCAAGGGAAGGTTATATCTCCTGCCAGATTTTGTTCGGCCATATGTCCCATTGCAGAGATTTGTCTTCACTTCCTGTCCCATTGCCAAACAGGAAGTGAGAGGAAATCTCTGCAAATTAAGGAATTCCTTGGGGACCCCTAGGTCACCAGAACTAGTGTCCCCATTGGAAAATTTCCCCTCTGTTACTTTTCTGGGGACAACTCAAAATTTGTGATTTTCTTTTTTACTTTTACTTTGACCCCAGAGTAAGGATACCAACTGTCCCGGATTTGCCAGGACAGTCCCGCATTTTGGACTTCAAGTAGAACTATATGTAATACTGTTTTTTCATTTTGGCAAGGGCAAGGGAGGGTTATATCTCCTGACAGATTTTGTTCGGCCATATGTCCCATTGCAGAGATTTGTCTTCACTTCCTGTCCCATAGCCAAACAGGAAGTGAGAGGAAATCCCTGCAAATTAAGGAATTCCTTGGGGACCCCTAGGTGACCAGAACTAGTGTTCCCATTGGAAAATTTCTTCTCTATTACTTTTCTGGGGACAACTCAAAATTTGGGATTTTCATTTTTACTTTTACTTTGACTCCAGAGTAAGGAAATCTCTGCAAATTAAGGAATTCCTTGGGGACCCAATAGGTCACCAGAACTAGTGTCCCCATCTATTACTTTTCTGGGGACAACTCAAAATTTGTCCAGGGGCCACAACGACACCCTCAATAAGACATTCCTTATGGTGATGGAGGACATGAGTGGGCAAGTCCCCACATAATTAGAGGCAGGGTTTTGGCAGGCCATGCTGGTCAATGGGCAAGGTCCGGGCAGGTCCACCCATCACCGGCAAACCTGAGGCAGACTGTGGGCAAGACCAGGACTGAAATTTGGTGAATATCCCAAAAGGGAAGATTTGGTCCACCCGAAACCCATCAGCCACCATGGCAAAGCTCACTCAGCAAAGATCCAACCACTGCTCAACATAGACGTAACGGGATTGTAGAGGTCCACACCGTAAATATATTTTTCGAGTAAAGAAAGTCCTTGTGGGGTGGGGTGACCCTATAGGCCTTCCAACCATTTTGTCGAAGACTTCCATGTCTTTGCAAGCTCCTCTACTTTCTAAAATGATCTTACAGACAGATTGTGAGGTCGAGTAACAGAGTATAACCGATGCCTGGTGGCTAAACAATTACTAAGCGTTACTTCCTGGCAGGCTTGGGTCTTTGTAGGCCTCAGACCAAGTGTGATTCATGCTTTATACACATAATTCTAAGTGGGAATCTTAGGGCACCATAACAAAATCTTATTGTAACCTGAGATCCACAGCTTCAGGAGGATGTACTCTTTAAGGATTTGCTCAAAACATTCTTCTACACTTAAATTTTATTCGTTCTTTGGTTTCTCTACGGCTACTAGGATTTGGTAGACCCTATGTAGTATGCTATAGCTGTGGGATTTTGGTGGAACACGTTTGGACCCTATAGCTATTAGTTTTGGTGGACCCCAGTTAATTTGTTGGAGCTGTTGGGTTTTGATGGATCCCATTTAGTGACATATAACTATTGAGTTTTGTTAAACCACATTTAGTATGTCTATAGCTGTTGGAGTTTGGTGGACCCCATTCAGTCTTACATAACTGTTGGCTTTTGGTGGATCCTGTTTAGTTTTGGAAGACCTCAATCAGTGATGACCAGGCTTCTGTATTTTGGTGGGCCACATTTAGTCCCCTATAGCTATTGAGTTTTGGTGGGCCCTGTTTAATTTGTTGGAGCAGCTGGGGCTTAATGGACTCTATTTACTTCTCTAAGCTGATTGATTTTGGTGAACCCCATGTTCATCTCTATAGCTGATGGAGTTTGGTGGACCCCATTCAGTCTTCTATAACTGTTGGGTTTTGGGAGATGCGAATCAGTGTTCACCAGGCTGTTGGGTTTTGGTAGACCATATCTAGTCCCCTATAGCTATTGGGTTTTGGTGGGCCCTGTTAATTTGTTGGAGCAGTTGGGTTTTACTGGACCCCATTTGCTCCTCTAAGCTAATACATTTTGGTGGACTCCATTTGCATCTCTGTAGTTGTTGGACCACATTCAATCTTATATAACTGTTGGGTTTTGGTGGATCCTATTTGCATCTCTATATCTGTAGGAGTTTGGTGGACCCCATTCAGTCTTACATAACTGTTGGGTTTTGGTGGATCCTATTTAGTTTTGGAAGACCCCAATCAGTGATGACCAGGCTTCTGGATTTTGGTGGACCACATTTAGTCCCCTATAACTATTGCGTTTTGGTGGGCCCGTTTAATTTGTTGGAGCAGCTGAGGCTTAATGGACTCTACTTCTCTAAGCTGATTGATTTTGGTGGACCCCATTTTCATCTCTATAGCTGGTGGAGTTTGGTGGACCCCATTCAGTCTTCTATAACTGTTGGGTTTTGGGAGGTCCGAATCAGTGTTCACCAGGCTGGTTTTGGTAGACCATATCTAGTCCCCTAAAGCCTTTTGGTGGGCCCTGTTTTTGTTTGTTGGAGCAGTTGAGTTTTAATGGACCCCATTTGCTCCTCTAAATTGATGGATTTTGGTGGACTCCATTTGCATCTCTATAGCTGTAGGAGTTTGGTGGACTCCATTCAGTCTTACATAACTGTTGGGTTTTGGTGGATCCTATTTAGCTTTGGAAGACCCCAATCAGTGATGACCAGGCTTCTGGATTTTGGTGGACCACATTTAGTCCCCTATAACTATTGAGGTGTGGTGGACCCTGTTTAAGTAGTCTGAGCAGCTGAGGCCTAATGGACTCTATTTATTTCTCTAAGCTGATGGATTTTGTTGAACCCCATTTTCATCTCTATAACTGGTGGAGTTTGGTGGACCCTATTCAGTCTTCTATAACTGTTGGGTTTTGGGAGATCCGAATCAGTGTTTACCAAGCTGTTGGGTTTTGGTAGACCATATCTAGTCCCCTATAGCTATTATGTTTTGGTGGGCCCTGTTTAATTTGTTGGAGCAGCTGAGGCTTAATGGACTCTACTTCTCTAAGCTGATGGATTTTGGTGGACTCCATTTTCATCTCTATAGTTGATGGAGTTTGGTGGACCCCATTCAGTCTTCTATAACTGTTGGGTTTTGGGAGATCTGAATTAGTGTTCACCAGGCTGTTGGGTTTTGGTAGACCATATCTAGTCCCCTATAGCTATTACGTTTTGGTGGGCCCTGTTTAGTTTGTTGGAGCAGTTGGGTTTTGATGGACCCCATTTGCTCCACTAAGTTGATGGATTTTGGTGGACCACAATTTGCATCTCTATAGCTGTTGGAGTTTGGTGGACCCCATTCAGTCTTCTTTAACTGTTGGGTTTTGCTGGACCCTATTTAGTCTTCTATAACTTTTGAGTTTTGGGAGAACCGAATCAGTGTTCACCAGGCTGTTGGGTTTTAGTAGACCACGCCTAGTCCCTTATAGCTATTGAGTTTTGGTGGGCTCTGTTTAGTCTGTTGGAGTAGTTTGGTTTTGATGGACCCCATTTGCTCCTCTAAGCTAATAAATTTTGGTGGACTCCATTTGCATCTCTGTAGTTGTTGGACCACATTCAATCTTCTATAACTGTTGGGTTTTGGTGGATCCTAATTAGTCTTCTATATCTTTTGGGTTTTTGGGAGACCTGAATTAGTGTTCACTAAGCTGTTGGGTTTTGGTAGTCCACATCTAGTCCCCTATAGCTATTGAGTTTTGGTGGGCCCTGTTTAGTTTGTTGGAGCAGTTGGGTTTTGATGGACCCCATTTTCTCCTCTAAGCTGATGGATTTTGGTGGACCCCATTTGCATCTCTATAGCTGTTGGAGTTTGGTGGACCCCATTCAGTCTTCTATAACTGTTGGGTTTTGGTGGACCCTATTTAGTCATCTATAGCTGTTGGGTTTTGGGGACCCCAACTAGTGTTCATCTTAACACTGAGACTTTGTGATTCAAAGTGGAAAGTCAATTTGTACATCCACGTGGACCTTCTGGTGTCGTGTGAGGTGGGACTTTTTTATAAAGCGTTTTCCACACTGAGTGCAGGCATGAGGCCGCTCACCTGTATGAATCCGCACATGCTTAGCTAGGTCAGAGTTGCTGATGAAACATTTGCCACACAACGGGCAAAGGTAAGGCCGTTCACCAGTATGAGTTCTCTGGTGTATATGAAGGTAAGACTTCTCGGCAAAGCTGCGCCCACAATCTGTGCAAGAATAAGGCTTCTCACCCGTGTGACTCCTCTGGTGTTTCACTAGATCCATATTCCGGACAAAGCTCTTCCCACACTCACTGCAGATGAATGGTTTCTCCTCAGTGTGGGACCTCTGGTGGTTCAGAAGGAGAGCAGGAGTAGGAAAGCACTTTTTACACTCAGGACATGGGTACTGCTCAGCACCATGGTGGACTCGACTGTGCAAAACAAGGTGGGCATTGTTAAGGAAGCTCTTGCCACATTCTGGGCAGGAACAGGTCTTATCCCGCGTGTGGGTCAGCTGGTGCTTGACCAGGTCAGAGTTGTCAATGAAGCACTTGCTGCACCAGTTGCAGGAGTAAGGCTTGTCACCAGAGTGGATCCTCAGGTGGCGGTTAAGGTGGGACTTCTTAGTAAAGCATTTTCCGCACTCTGTGCAAAAATGGGGTCGTTCCCCTGTGTGAGTCCTCCGGTGCTTCACCAATTCAGAGTTGCTTATGAAGCATTTGCCACAGTCAGGGCAAGGAAAGGGCTTCATGCCAAGATGGATCTTGCGATGGCTGCTCAGGTAGGTCTTGTAGGCAAAATGGCGCCCGCAGTCGGTGCAAGCATATGGCTTCTCCCCAGCGTGGCTCCTCTGGTGCAGGACCAAGACAGCCTTCCGGATGAAACACTTGCTGCACTCCGGGCATGGGTAGGGCCTGTCGCCGGTGTGAATCCGACGGTGGACCACCAGGTGTGTTTTGCTACTGAAGCACTTGCCACAGTCGACGCAGGAAAATGGGCGTTCTCCTGTGTGGACTCTTTGGTGGACGACGAGATGAGGTTTGCTGAAGAATCGTTTTGCCACACACCTCACAGGAAAAGGGCTTCTCTCCAGTGTGGACCCTTTGGTGCTGAACCAGGTCAGACCTCCGAATAAAGCCCTTCCCACACTCCGAGCAGGTGTGGGGCTTCTCCCCTGTATGAATCTTGCGGTGGACGATGAGCGCCGAGATGCTGATAAAGCGCTTCTTGCACTCAGAGCAGGAATATGGCTTCTCGCCCGTGTGGATTCGGGTGTGGATGGCTAGGTAGGCCTTGCTGACAAAACGTCTGCCACACTCATTGCAGGCAAACGGCTTCTCGCCGGTGTGAACGATGGCGTGCTTGGCCAGGTCAGAAGACCGGATGAAGCTCTTGTCACATTCAGGGCAAGAGTGAGGCCTCTTGACGCTGTGGTACTTGACGTGTTTGGAGAATTTGGACTTCTTGCTAAATGTCTTACTGCAAAGCAGACAGGCAAAGGATGGGTTCGCTTGTTGACGGTCAGGACAGTCATAGCCAATGCTAAGGCCCGTTGGAACTTCCAAAGACTTGGGTGTCCCGCCAGCACCATCTGTAGGTGAATACGTATCTACATCACACACTTGGGGTTCATCTTGATCTTTCAGATAATGAAGACCATTATTAGCCGTTGAACTGGAGCTATCCTGGATTGGGAGGTGCTCAGGTCTGATGGAGCTCTGGTTGTCTTGGTTTGGGAGGCGCTCCTCTTCAACAGATCTGCTGGAACTCTGGCCGTTCTGGTTTGGGAGGTGCTCTTCTTTAACAGATCTTACGGAGATCTGACTGTCCATCAAATTTCCAACTCCATAGTAAACCTGAGGGAACAAAAAGCAGAATGTATCACGAAGCACAGTCTGTTTCTAGCACATAAAACAAATGCAAAACCACAACACCATTTTTAGAGATCGTGACAACCAACCGCCAATTTTGTATGCAGAAAGATGAATACCAGCTCTTAGTAGCCACTTCTCTTCCTCCTGAACCAGGAAAAAGAAGCAACTACCTGGATGCAATGGAGGCCACCCCTGATATACTTCTGCCTAAGTCATAAAGCCAAGCATGACGCAATGGAAAAGGATGGATGATGACTAGTCTGTTAAAGTGTTCGACAAGTAAGTAAATATTTTAGCAAGATAAATTAGGTGACATCACTGCCTTCCTATCTCAGTGCAACATCCTGAATTAAAATTAAACGGGAATGGGCAAAACCAAAACTCTTCACGTCACCTGGTTTGATTGTAATGATTTGCAGGAACTCTCTATGAACTGGTCTAACGAGAGTTGTAAGCAAACCAATTGTAGGGTAAATCCCTATGAGAGTGTATTGTGTGTCAACTTGCCTAACAAAAGATGTACATATCTCTATTGACACTCCCTCTCCCTTCATTTATACTCATAGAGAGGATGGCCTTCAGCCACGAATGTATAGATTTCCATTTTATATTTCCTCCATTCCAATAGAGGAAATACAGCTGGCTGCTAACATTGGAACTATCTGCTTTGTGTCTATGTGAGTAGTAATATCATGTCATTGGCACACCTCTTACCCGGTGATGTGAGGGGCGGCCGGTTCTCCATCATGACATCCTTGTAGAGATCCTTGTGTCCTTCTAGATACTCCCACTCCTCTATTGTTTCTATGTCTTTCTATCCTTGTGTCCTTCTAGATAATTCCACTACTCTACATTGTTTCAGAGGATGTGTGTATCTAGGTGGATCCTCAATACAAGAAATGAAAGTCTCCTCTTATCCGGTGATGTGAGGGGCGGCCGTTTCTCCATCATGACGTCCTCGTAGAGATCCTTGTGTCCTTCTAGATACTCCCACTACTCTATTGTTTCCATGTCTTTCTATCAGAGGATGTGTGTATCTAGGTGGATCCTCAATACAAGAAATTAAAGTCTCCTCTTACCCGGTGATGTGGGGGGCGGCCAGTTCTCCATCATGACATCCTTGTAGAGATCCTTGTGTCCTTCTAGATACTCCCACTACTCTATTGTTTCTATGTCTTTCTATTAGAGGATGTGTGTATCTAGGTGGATCCTCAATACAAGAAATTAAAGTCTCCTCTTACCCGGTGTTGTGGGGGGCGGCCAGTTCTCCATCATGACGTCCTTGTAGAGATCCTTGTGTCCTTCTAGATACTCCCACTCCTCCATGGAGAAATAGACAATGACATCCTGACACCTTATAGGAACCTGACACACACAATGAGACAGTCACCATCCAGACACATCCCTTGTCTGTTACTGGAGAATGTCCCAGAATTCCCGGCACCGCTCACCTCTCCTGTCAGCAGATCAATGATCTTCTGGGTAACTTCTAGGATCTTCTTGTCGTTGTTTCTGTCAGATGTCGGCAAGGGACGAGGGTAAATGCCTTCTTGGATACTGTAATGAAATCCCTTTTTCGCTACAGTGTAATTCTAAATATGAAGAAATGCAGAAATAGGTACCTGACATTTTCCTAGAATCCTCCTCACCTCTCCGGTCAGGTCTGTGTTTTATTAATAGAGATGAGAGTGACGTCATGTGACCTTCCAGAATCCTCCTCACCTCTCCGGTCAGGTCTGTGTTTTATTAATAGAGATAAGAGTGCTCTCATGTGACCTCCCAGAATTCTCCTCACCTCTCCAGTCAGGTCTGTGTTTTATTAATAGAGATAGGAGTGATGTCATGTGACCTCCCAGAATCCCCCTCACCTCTTCGGTCAGGTCTGTGTTTTATTAATAGAGATAAGAGTGATGTCATGTGACCTCCCAGAATCCTCCTCACCTCTCCGGTCAGGTCTGTGTTTTATTAATAGAGAGAAGAGTGATATCATGTGACCTCCCAGAATCCTCCTCACCTCTCCGGTCAGGTCTGTGTTTTATTAATAGAGATAAGAGTGATGTCATGTGACCTCCCAGAATCCTCCTCACCTCTCCGGTCAGCAGGTAGATGATCTCCAGGGTGAGTTGCAACATCCTTTCATTGACATGACTTCGCTCATTAATGAATGTCAATAGCTCTGAAACATATCGTACAGAATAGCCGATCTTCTGATCAGATGCTCCGTCGTCAAGTAACCTCAGAGCTTAACGGAGAAAGACAGAAACAGGAACTGAACAGCCTTTGGAGATAATCTTTGTATTGTTCTATTCGTCAATTATGAATCCATTTCCAAACATGATAAAGTCAGAAAAAAATCAAGAAAGGTCAAGGTAGCAAACGCAAATTAATAAAATATTGCCAACAGCAGTGACATTCAGTAACTATTTGCAAATTAATTTTAGGAGGGACAGTCAAAGAAATGGGATTTCACGTTGGTTGCTTAACACCATATTTGCCTAGAAGTTGTACAGTATTTCGATATTTGGTAGAAGCTGGAGTTAAATCCCGTGGGGACTCTATAGGTGAGATCTCTGCAAAGAGTTCCTGGCTCTGTACACCTGCTGTGCCCATTATGAGGGGTTCCCACAATCCATGAACTGAGTTCCTAGGTCTGTACATCTGCTGTGCCCATTATGAGGGGTTCCCACTATCCATGAACTGAGTTACCAGGTCTGTACATCTGCTGTGCCCATTATGAGGGGTTCCCACAATCCATGAACTGAGTTCCTAGGTCTGTACATCTGCTGTGCCCATTATGAGGGGTTCCCACCATCCATGAACTGAGTCACTGGGTCTGTACATCTGCTGTGCTCATAATGAGGGGTTCCCACACCATCCCTGTTGGGTTTTATTTTTATTTCAAATGATAGAGAATGTAATAGGAGGCGTTGGGACACAAAGGTGGACAAGGAGACTCAAAACTCCCAGGTGGTCAGGAACAGAGATGGGAAGAATGTCAAGGAGATCTCACTGATGGAGAATCCAAGACATTTAAGAAGCCAGAACTTGACTCAGCCCACCAATGTTCACATTCCTCTAAAATATCACTTTCGGATGACTTGACATTTCAATGATCGGGTGAACTGGATACTTTTGACATTTTTGGGAATGCAATGATTTCTATAGAAAGATCAAAGCATGTTCCACAACAACTCAAGGAGCCTCTCAGAATGGCAGAACCCTGTCTCCTCTTACCTGGGGGTGGCTGGTTCTCCACCATGATGTCCTCGTAGAGGTCCTTGTGTCCTTCTAGATACTCCCACTCCTCCATGGAGAAATAGACAGTGACATCCTGACACCTTATAGGAACCTGACACACACAATGAGACAGTCACCATCCAGACACATCCCTTGTCTGTTACTGGAAAATGTCCCAGAATTCCCGGACCACTCACCTCTCCTGTCAGCAGCTCAACGATCTTCTGGGTGACTTCTAGGATCTGCTTCTTGTTGTTCCTCTCAGATGTCAGGGAAGGAGGAGGAGGTTCCATTATGGGTGATGGGTCAACAGTACTGCTGTTGTGTGGTAATATTTTTCCAGATCTTGTCTTCACTAATTCATAATCCTGTGTAAAGGACCAAAAAAATTGTACATCACCGGAATCCTCCTCACCTCTCCGGTCAGGTCTGTGTTTTATTAATAGAGATACGAGTGATGTCTTGTGACCTCCCAGAATCCTCCTCACCTCTCCGGTCAGGTCTGTGTTTCATTAATAGAGATAAGAGTGATGTCATGTGACCTCCCAGAATCCTCCTCACCTCTCCGGTCAGGTCTATGTTTTAATAATAGAAATAAGAGTGACATCATGTGACCTCCCAGAATCCTCCTCACCTCTCTGGTCAGGTCTGCGTTTTATAAATAGAGATTGGAGTGATTTCCTGTGACCTCCCAGAATCCTCCTCACCTCTCCAGTCAGGTCTGTGTTTTATAAATAGAGATTGGAGTGATTTCATGTGACCTCCCAGAATCCTCCTCACCTCTCCGGTCAGGTCTGTGTTTTATTAATAGAGATAAGAGTGATGTCATGTGACCTCCCAGAATCCTCCTCACCTCTCTGGTCAGGGCTTAAAAAACATCTTACAGAGTATACATATTAACAATTACGTCACAATGCATATTTTTCCTCTTTCACTTTCTGTACATTCAAACGACTTTCTAAACTGTGCAGTACATGGCCTTGGATTCCAGCTACAGATAAGGGTGCTAGCTACAGGCTGGTACACATTACTTTACAGGAAATAAGGGTGGGGGAAAGTGAGCCGACGACCTTGCTTTGCAAGCAGAGTCTGTTAAAAATATTAAGGATTAAAGAGGATCTCTGCAATTTTGGGTGCTGCCACAATGTGACCTCCCAGAATCCTCCTCACCTCTCCAGTCATGTCTGTGTTTTAATTATAGAGATGAGTGACGTCATATGACCTCCCAGAATCCCCCTCAAAACTCCGGTCAGGTCTGTGTTTTATTAATAGAAATGAGAGTGATGTCATGTGACCTCCCAGAATCCTCCTCACCTCTCCGGTCAGGTCTGTGTTTTATTATTAGAGATAGGAGTGATATCATGTGACCAACCAGAATCCTCCTCACCTCTCCGGTCAGGTCTGTGTTTTATTAATAGAGATAAGAGTGATGTCATGTGACCTTCCAGAATCCTCCTCACCTCTCCGGTCAGGTCTGTGTTTTAATAGAGATAAGAGTGATGTCATGTGACCTTCCAGAATCCTCCTCACCTCTCCGGTCAGCAGGTAGATGACTTCCAGGGTCAGGTTATGTATCCTCCCGGCCATCTTGCTCCTGTGTTGGTCCACGCTCAGCAGATGGATCCTGATCTCTTGTATCTTAGGAGGCTTTAGTAGACGTGAGAGGACAACGTAGAAAAATCATCTGAAAGATAAAAATTGACATGCAAACGAGAATAAATCTATCTCTTTCTATATAAATATAGAGTAGATATCACAGTATTTATCACTAAGTATCCATTAAACTGGAAGTTTCTTGATTGACCAAGCAGTATGAAGGTACCTCCATGAACAGTAAAATCTTGACAAATTTAGTCTTGAATAAGCAATAAATGAGAGTTTCTTCTTTTCAACACCCTTCATATTTTTCATCAGAATCAATCCAAGTCAGTTTATTGTGACCCTGGTGGGCTGATTCAGCAGCACTTTCATAGTGCTTCAGGACAGAACTTTCGTCTTTTGCCACGTAATGCTGTTAAAACTTCATAAGAGCTACAGAAGGCAGTCTGGGACTCGGGGAGCATTTCCGCAAGATCGTAGTCAGAGCCATTCACAAGGCCAGGATGTCTGATGGCCAATAAGTTGAACCTCAATCCTGAAAATTAAACTTGCCTGGCAGCCAAGCAAAGCCTCCGCTTTGGGACAGGCATGCAGCAGGTGATGCAGCAGGTGATGCTGGGGCTCCCATTATGCATTCTTATTCAGCTGCAAACCAGTGCAGCTGGGTGGCAACAGGCATTTTCAGTAGGAGGAGCCAAGTCTTTTGCCGCAGGCGTAGCTCGCTGTGAAAGGTGGTCAACGTAAGGAGGATTTTTGAACCTTTTTTGACTTACGCCAGCTCCTCCGGATAGCCCGGGATGGTGATCCCCTTTAAAAGACTTTAAATCACTCTAAATTATGGAAGAAGAAGCTTTATGCAGACATTTCTGAATCAACCCAATCAGGAATTACCAGTGTTAAGTGTCTGAGATCCAGGTCTTAATTCTAAAGGAGGGAGATTTACCTTTTGCAGCAGCAAGCCAGCCACACAGACCCCTCTTTTTGTCTTCTAAGAGGGGCAGAGGGAGTAGAGCGGAGCATGCTGGGAGCCGTAGTCTCTGGCTGCAGCAAGGCACCATGGGAGTTGTAGTTTTGGACTTTGGACTACAACAAAATGGCTCCTAAATACATTACCTGTCTTACTACTAAATATTATTTACTTGCCTAGTTCAGAGAAGGAAATGCCATACAAATGAGCTTTGGCTGTGTTATTATATGCAGGTTAAAGTGAAGCAAAGGGATACAATTAAGATCTAACCATCAAGCCTGTTCTTCCTGAGACCACAACAAAATGGCCACCACACTTTTTTTTTTTGAGAGAGAATAAATGTGAATTTCAATAAAACGAAGCTACTAGTCTCTTGATAGCAGATTAATAAAAAGTAGACGGGGCAAAAGTTTGAATTTTAGTCACATTAGGAGAACAGTTTATGTCTTCAGACCACCACAATAAAATGGCCACAGTGCACTTTCACTGACATTAGCAGAGCTACAACAAAATGGCTGAAGGAGCCAAACTAAAAAGTGTTCTTTTATTGTGTTACAGTGCAGAATCAGCCTTATGGATGGGTGCATGTAAAGATGGTCATGTAAGATATCCAGAACATTCAAGATAGCCTTCCCTGGGGGAACCCTTGAGAGCTTGGGGAATCCCTGAATTTTTTTTTTACTGTCTCATTTACATTGTATGTTTTAAATGATATTTCCCCGAAGAGGTGAGTTGAGGTCTCAGGAAACCAGACGGAACCATTGATGGTACCTGATGTGGTCCAAATTGATTTTTCCAGATGAACTAGTGATAACAAAATGGGTTTAAAAGTATATTTTAGTTGCCTTTCAACTCCTCTTCTGAAATCCTCTGCTCTGTCGGAGGAATCCGCTCCTTCCTCTATAACTCTCCTCTCCTGAAATACTCTGCGCCGCTGAAGGACTCTGCTCCTTCCTCTGTAACTCTTCTCTCCTGAAATACTCTGCTCTGCTGGAGGACTCCGCTCCTTCCTCTATAACTCTTCTCTCCTGAAATACTCTGCTCTGCTGGAGGACTCCGCTCCTTCCTCTGTAACTCTCCTCTCCTGAAATACTCTGCACCACTACTAGAGGACACTGCTCCTTCCTCTATAACTCTCCTCTCCTGACATACTCTGCTCTGCTGGAGGACTCCGCTCTTTCCTCTATAAAACTCTCCTCTCCTGAAATAATCTGCTCTGCTGGAGGTCTCTGCTCCTTCCTATATAAAACTCTCCTCTCCTGAAATACTCTGCACTGCTGGAGCACTCCACTCCTTCCTCTATAACTCTCCTCTCTTGAAAAACGCTGCACTGCCAGAGGACTCCACTCCTTCCTCTATAACTCTTCTCTCCTGAAATACTGTGCACTGCTGCAGGACTCTGCTCCTTCCTCTATAGCTCTCCTCTCCTGAAATACTCTGCGCCGCTGGAGGACTCCGCTCCTTCCTCTATAACTCTCCTCTCCTGAAATACTCTGCGCCACTGAAGGACTCCGCTCCTTCCTCTATAACTCTCCTCTCCTGACATACTCTGCTCTGCCGGAGGACTCCGCGCCTTCCTCTATAACTCTCCTCTCCTGACATACTCTGCTCTGCTGGAGGACTCCGCTCTTTCCTCTATAAAACTCTCATCTCCTGAAATACTCTGCACTGCTGGAGGACTCCGTTCCTTCCTCTATAAAACTCTCATCTCCTGAAATACTCTGCACTGCTGGAGGACTCCACTCCTTTCTCTATCTGACTCGACCTCCTCTGCCTGGAAATAGTGTTGCTCTGGATATAATGGTGGCGACAGTAAACTAAAATGACTAGTTATGAACTCAACCAGGATTGGTGGGTTTTTTCGGTAAATACATATTAAATAATAAGGCTGGTGGTCAAAAAACACATGAATGACTCCTTTAATTCAAACAAAGACATCTTTAAAAGCATAACAAAACAAAAACACCACACTCCACAGGTCTCACAATATGCCCCCTTTGTTGGTGGGTACCAATAATATAGACAATATAGACATCAAATTCTCCCATATGGACCGTAAATGCTCAGCATGCAGAATTTCAGTATTAATGAAAAGCCCTCATCAAAGGGATGTTCCGCGTGTCATTACCTTAGGCCCCTCAGGAAAAGGAACGCAATACGTTGAAGATGGTTTAGGCCGCATGTAGAGATAGTAGCGTGTAGTCCAGGCGTATATCCTGTGAAGACTGTAGTTAACACTGACCTCCCTCATATAAGTGCAGAGGTCCGTTTGGACCTCTTAATGGTTGCCCTCTATAAGATTTATTTGGCCAACTATCTAGTGATAGTTGGCCAAATAAATCTTGTAGAGGGAAACCATTAAGAGGTCCAAACGGAACACCAGACCAGATGTAGTCCAGAGGAGGAAACAGATTGTTTGTGGCATGTCCTTAGCCAAACCTAAGCCTACCTCTGTGGCAACCGGTTGTACCGGTGAAACAAGTCAGGAAGGGCCTCTCCACACTCCCAGGTCTCCTAAGGACACCCATTCTGATGTCTGCAGCATAAGTACCATCAACGTTACTCTGATGCTTTGAACTTTCCTAATTCTGAGGAGCCTATTCACCAATATGTACAAAGGGACTATTCCTCCTGTTCCCTAAGGACATGCCACTTGGTTGTTATATGGGCCAGACTTTATAAATGTATGAGGGAGGTTATTATTTCTCACTTGAACCGTCCCCTGGATGGTGCTTCCCAATTGCTGGGCACCAGAAGGAGGCGAAGATACCACCATTCATATGCAATTTGTTCAACACAATCTGTTTCCTCCTCTGGACTACATCTGGTCTGGCGTTCCGCTTGGACCTCTTAATGGTTGCCCCCCTACAAAATTTATTTGGCCAACTATCTAGTGATAGTTGGCCAAATAAATCTTGTAGAGGGCAACCATTAAGAGGTCCAAATGGAACGCCAGACCAGATGTAGTCCAGAGGAGGAAACAGATTGTTTGTGGCATGTCCTTAGCCAAACCTAAGCCTACCTCTGTGGCAACCGGTTGTACCGGTGAAACAAGTCAGGAAGGGCCTCTCCACACTCCCAGGTCTCCTAAGGACATCCATTCCAATGTCTGCAGCATAAGTGCCATCAACCTTACTCTGATGCTTTGAACTTTCCTAATTCTGAGGAACCTATTCACCAATATGTACAAAGGGACTGTTCCTCCTATTCCCTCAGGACCTCTTAATGGTTGCCCCCCTACTAGATTTATTTGGCCAACTATCTAGTGTAAGAGGGAGGTCAGTGTTAACTTACTATTGGATCTCTGATTGGGGACTCCCTGATTACTAACCATTTTTCGATCTTGAGGCTTTGCTTTGGAGGTTTATAATTGTGGTGACTAGACAAAGGACAGAGGAATAATATTTTAAGGACCGGTCCACTTTATGAGTTTATCTAAATGATGCCTATCAGCACACAGTTTCTTTCAATTTCTTGAAGCAACCTTCTACATAAATGGATCTAAAAAAAGAAATGTCATTAAATGACGAGAGGATGGCAAGAACCACAGGAATCAAACGCGGTCACGTTGTATAGAAAAATGAAAAACAGCATTTATTATATTTATTTTCTGGCATATGTAAACATTTGCAGCCTTTCCTCTCCAAACGTTCCCACGTAAATGAGACAGCGGTGAACCCAAATTAAGTCATTTATATCCAATGACAATGCTTATAATGAGACACGCCAACCCTTTCTTTGTGGTAACTGTGTAGGTTCCCATTTATTCAGGTCCAGGAGTGGTTGTCACCATCGGCTGGACTTGTTCTGTTGACAATATTTCCTAGCTTCTCCAAACCACTTCTTTGTTTCTAATGACCAAAGATACCCCAGCGTTAATATTCACACCTTAAAACAAGCACCATGCAATGCATTAAGGCAAATGTCAATTGTCCAAGAATAGAATGGGAGGTGTGAGGGTTATGGAGCCAGTCTGTTGTGTTTGTATAATCCCATCCTTGATTTCTAGAAGTCTGCATAGGTGCTAATCTTTCCATTTACATCGCTGAAATTGTGAATTTCCCAAACACCGGG